TTTTTTTCAACCAACGACTTTCATCCAGCGTTATATTATGTGTAGGTGCAGCGACTGTTTGGCCGTTGCACGAATGAAATACCATTAAACGTTGCTTCACGGCGAGAAATTAATTTATATTCGAGAGATGAGATTAATATTTATATATATAGTAATTAAAACAGTTGAACATTTTTAACGTGCGAACCGCCTTCACACGAATTTCGCTTTCGGAGAATTGCCCAAGCTCATTGTATTTCACGCACGGCGCGTGCACGCTACTGCAGCAATCCTATCATTTATTGTGTGATAACAAAAATTGATAACACAAATAGACTTACAGACCGCGCGAATAGTTTTGAAAATAATATCACGTGTGTCTGTATTTTACAACCGGTCCCGATTCGGAAGTGCAGTCAATAAAAAAACCCCATGGCGGTTTTGGAATTTGAAACTCTCCCCTCCCCCCCATTAAAATCTGATCGAGCTACCGTCTTGGATGTAGAATATTTTAAAACTTTCAGTTACTAAATTATACACGGTATTTCCAAATCATACTCCGGCAAGGTCACCGTGTAATATATTAGGCACGAGGATTAATAATAATTATCGAACGCCCATTTGCATATAACATAAGCAAGCAGCTTAGTACTGTACAGCTGCTGTAAGCCAAAATAAGCGGTGACCGGTAATATCGGGTTATCTTTAACTCGACCGACATCTATTATGCGTCATAGTTTGTCGGCGTCGTGTAAATTTATAAATTAACTAGATTGTTATAATATATATATATATAGATATTAATTATTATGTACGGCACGTGTTATGCCAGCAAAACGCGTTTATTATGTGTCAATATCATATGGATAATATTTATCTTGTCCGCGTTTAGTGAATTAGTACACAGAATTTTGTAGTTATAAAAATATACATTTTAATAGTTATTAAAACGTGTTGAATATTTATGAAGCGTAGGTATAACATACAGTTTAGCGTTTCATACAATACATTATAAATAGGTATCCCGGGAATCGAGTATTTCGCATTATAAATATTTCAGAAATGTCTTCTTCCACCAAATCAAATCGAAAACCTCTCAAGTGTTCGCTTTTCAGTACTAGGTATACACTATTCTGTATCATACAAATTTGCCGTCCAATTAATGGGAAGCCTTCAAATTGTAAAATAAACGGGATAAAAGTCGACTGTAACGTTATAATGTTACAGTCGACTTTTATCCCGTGCGACACTATTTATTTATTTTTCATCAGAAGTGGAAACACCATTTTTTTTAATAGATAATATTGTTTTGTAATCTTAAAAATGTCGCAAATTGTGTATAGACAAATTTACACTTATAATTATTTAAAGCTAATTTGTTTGTAAGGAAGTGGCAATTTGTCATATTTTATGAGAATTTACATGTGCGAATATTTTTGCAAGTGAAACTTATACTCATTGTGATAAAACTCGACGAGAAAGCTTTGAAACTTTTAGATTTTATTTTAAAGTACCTACAGTTTTATCCCTGAAGTATTACCTACTATATAAAAGCAATGAAGGAAAAACGCCGCACGTGAGAAAATCTTAAGAATAATATTCAAAATGTACATACATTATTTATTCTTCCCGGAAGACGGCTTACGCCCGTATGGCTGTACAGTAATGAAAGCCTATAATTATAGTGGTTTAAATTATTATAAATTATATTAACGTTGTTTGTTGCTGTTGTCATGTCTCTGTTGTACATAGTAATAAATAATAGTATTACTCTCAACACTATTCTCCTACAACCAGCGTCTGTTGTATAATATTATACACTTACTGTGTAAAAAAAAAAAAAAATGAAAAATATTTATTATTTCGTTTGTGTGTTCGTTAGAAAAATGTAAGCAAAAAATACGCGCTTAGTAACTTTGACTGTTTTTTTTTTTAGTTTCATAGACTTCAGAGTCTAGAGATTGAATATTAATACAACAACGCTAACATTAGTAAAAACTAAAATGTCGCAATAAGTGTTTTTTTATGCGATAACGAAAACAAACGTGTCTGAAATAAAATAAAACTCAACGCAAGTACATAATATATTACAAAACTCAAGGCTCGTGTACCTAACAATAAGATCATAATAATAAAATGCGAACAGCAATAGTAATACTAATAATTATAACAGTAAATATAATCATATTTAAAACAGTTTTGTTTCCGCGCAAAAATGAACATTTTGACAGGCCCACACGTCGTCGGGTTGTAAAAATTATTATTATGATCTTACAATATTTATTATTGCTGAATGCGAGTACTACAAAAAGTTAACGTTACATTATAATTTTTACTAAACTTTTTTTCGCAAATTCATTTTCAAATAATATCGTTGCCTGCGCACTGTCGGGTAAGTATTAATTCACAAGAAATGGATGTCAGTTGCATCAGATGTGTACATACTAATTATTGTAGACATACTCGGTTCGCCCGTGCCCATGTATAATATTTTAATGTTTTCGGTTTCTTTGTTTTCCATTGGCAATTGCTCGCAATTACTTGGGTAATTTTTGTCGTTGTGTGACACAGTTACATGAAGAACGTGACAACAAAAAAACGCACAAAAACAACCGACTTTTTATTAATTTTGCACGCGACCGGACAGCGAATATGTCAAATATTGTTTTGTTCGGCCGGGTCTAAAAAGAAGTTCATATCGCTCATTATGATATGTAAAACTTGTGTGAATTCTGATTGGAGATTATTGTTTCAGTTTGGCGAAAGCAGTTGTTGTTCGTATACGAAGAGCCGTTAGCCTTTCACGAGTCCTTTCTATTATAAATCTTAAAACTACAATCATTTCGCTTCTAAGTAGATCAGTGTTTTATTTTACAACAGCCGTCGAAAATGTAACGTTTTAAAAACTATACTATTGTTGAATTGTTGTAGTGGTGTATATAATTTAGTACCTACCATAATATGCGCAAATTATGGTTTAATAGGTCGTATAGTTATCTTCCAAAAAATATATTCATATTTTTCATATATTATACTATTGTGATAGGTAATAATTATTTGCTGGCATGCGTATGCATAAACGTGAAATTATAGTTTAGTGAAATTAAGAAATAAAAAATTAAAGTGTAAATTTATTTAAAATTTTAACCAAAGAGAGTTTAATACATTTAAAAAATTGAAAGTCAATTTTGTGTGGAAAGAAATTATAACTGTAAAAGTTATCCGTGTGTTTGATTTTTATTGCAGACTACTCAGTAAGATAATTAATAACGTGTTTTTAAAGGCTGTTTGAAATTTTAGACAAGAAATTTAATTAACAAGTTGTAAAAAATTTACTTAACTGTTAAAGGTGTACACATTTTGAACTCATTTTTTAATGTACCTATTTTTTATGTGTCTATACGAATTTCTTTATATTTTTTTTACGTAAGTCATAATATCATGTTGTGTTGATGTTTCATACTATAAAAATTTCAAAAACATAAATGACCTTCAATTTGTACATTTTTACTTGCTACTTTTGATGCTCTATTTGTAAGCCTAAAATCTGGTTTACAAACTCATGTATAGCTATTACTGAGAAAAATAATCGAAATGATCAAGTGAAAAATGTAAAAACACATTTCTACAGTTGTATTTATCAATTTGGATTGCACAAACAGAGACGACACAAAGCCGGGAAAAGTACTCGCTTAATTTTTGTTTATGCTAAGCTTAAATTTAATAAATGGAAATAGGCTACTAGTTCTAGCTAAGACAATATCATTTGGATCAAGTGGACATGAACCTCGTCCATTAAAACACAAGTTCCAATTGACTTAGCAGCCCGCAACAGGGTATCCCAAGCGGTTATGACAGTACTTACATACAATTCTACGATAAGTAAAACTGTCGAAAATAAAACGTCCGAGACACCCATTAGGTGTATTGGAATTATTGTGTCTTTAAGAAGTTCACACATTTCTTTCGCGGTCAGCTCAAAATTATATACACAATATCACTACAGTTGAGTAGTTAATTAGGGTTATTAACGAGAGGTTCCAGTCGTAATTATTTTGCGCATTTGGTATTTTAATTACCTAATAGAAAAGAATGTAAACTGGTTTCGACAACAATCTAATTTGGTTCAATGAGAAAATTGTGTGCATAGCCTACTGAAACACAAAAAGGAAAAGAAACCTCACAGTTATTAATACCATTAATAAAAATATGTAATGTTACCAAATTAAACGTTTTACTTATGCGTAGGTTAGTTATCTTTGCATTAACAGTTACCCGAAGAGCAATTAAACTAAATAATATACTATTTATTTTTAACGATTACATTGCCTAACTAATTTTCACTGTTACCATTGCAATTTATAACTTACTGCGTTCAACATGCATACAATTGAAATCTGTACCTATTAACTTGTGATGTCCATTTTCATGGATTCTGATAAGTACTTTATGTGTGTAATGTATGCCTTTTGAGTTTGCATAAATTATAAATAATTGTTGTACGTTGATTGTACGAAATTTCACTGTTCAGCAATAAAATCAAAACCGATAAGATTGTGTAGAGAGCGGTGGTGTATTTTTGTAATCGCCAAGCTAAACGGTGACTACATCAGCTGATACATCCGAGGTGGAATTCAGTTGCTCTGGACCGACCGGTCAACGCCTACACCATCCCGTTTACCTATATTGTATCAATGAATACGTCATCATCATATGATGCATTATGGCGTTTCGCGTTTCCAGTATCGTGTGGCTGGACAAAATGGATCAGTGTGTGTGTGTGTGTGTACTAGTCTGTGTCAAGTTGTCATTGCAAAAAGCCACCACCGAGAGCGCAGCACGAGAGTACACGACGATATCGTTATTCGACTTTATAGAACCCAATGTTGTGGTACTCTCTCTCGTGGTAGGTATTATACAATATTATATTAATGCCCCGTCGGCCGGCGCTGCCCCCGCGCTGACCACCACCAGACCCCCGTGTGGAACCGGTCCCGAGGCTAACGGCGACGGTGCGCACCTCAGTCTGCACTCTGCAGTCAGTTGGACGTTTACCACGCACTCGGTCGGCACGCACAGCCGTTGTGAACAATAATAATAATAATAATAATAATATACACTAACGTAGGTATATACATTCAGTCCGATCGTTCACCGTCGTCAGGTGCACACCTGCCATCGCACATCCTCTTCACCTCGCGAGCGCGTGTGTGCGTTTTTTTGTCTCCACCGTCCGTTTTGGCGCCATCCGAACTGTCGTGAATTTTTGTTTTTTTACAATTTGACAATACGTTTGGTTTTTTTGATAATAATCAAAAAAAAAAAATAAAATCGATTTCGGTGCGCGCACGCCACACTCCGGAGAACATTACAAAGCCACACAGTATCGCACAGGTAACTTACTACATAATATATTATATATAGGTGTAATCGTAGACGATCGGTGCACGCAGATCCGATGTGTTTTCCCGACCGCCCAACGTCTTGTCCGGCAGTCGTCGGATCTATAAATAACTCTATAGCAACGCTATCCGGTCGTCGACGTGCATATTATTGTTATTATTATTACTACTGTGTTTTCGGTACTTTTGGGGTGACTTGAACGCTGGTTCAAAGTCCGAGGGCACGTCCCGTGACGGATCATCAAACAAATATCTACATCCCCATCCCCCTAACAAACAATGCTACTATTAAAATGACGTTTTTTTTTTTTTATTATTATTAAAAAAATACCAAAATTAAATAAAATGAATAACAAATTTAAATGAACGTGCAGCGATGGGCCGCAAACAACAAACGCGAGAGCGCGGTCAACGTGCATTGGCCTTTGTCGTGGATATATTTCATTAAAACCTCCTACGGCTTATATAACATCTATTACAAAGAGATAACGAATACATTTCATTGGGACTGTGATAAAAAATCGATCAGCGCTTTAACAGATAATTTAAAAAGTGTCCTTTATGCCAAAAAAATACGCTCTCCATTTTAGTGGTAATATAACAAAAAAAAAAACTATAGTATGATTTTATAATGATTATTTTGATGAAAACTTCGCATACTCAACAAATAAACATAAGCTATTTTTTAGATCACGTTATATATAAAATTATGGTTGTTAATTTTGAAACCATCGAATTATTCATATACCTTAAGGTTTCAATAAATATTTTATGATAATAGAGTTGAGGCTATACAATTATTTGTGACGATAATAAATATATTTATGTATACATTATTTTAATAAAAACGACGATAAAAGTAACAGTATAATCAATTTGATACTTAATATCGTACTAAATATTGTACTTAATATCGATCATTTATAATACATAAGAACAACATATTTTCTATTTTAATAAAACCGTTTTAGAAGCTATACTACCTTTATTGATTTTATATCAGTGAATTTACATTATCTCCGTTTATAAGTGCATATTTTGCTCCATTTGTTTACAATTATTCGCAGCTAAGTAAAAATACAAATCGCTTCTGCTCTAGTTTGAAATTCAACAGTGGGGTTTGGAAACTACCTGGCTGGGTAAACATGAGTGAATGGGGATATACCTGCGTTTTTCTTGCCCAGTGAACAGGTTTTAATGTTTATGGCAAACGGCCCACAACTCACAATAGTGTCGTCGAGCGATTTCTTTGCCCGAAACGACCAACGTCAATGGAGAAAAAAAATCGCCCATTTAAAATCGATCTATCCTGCAGACCTGTCAAAACGTTTGTCGTAATTCCATAAAATATTATTATTGTTTTTATTATTATACAGCGCACATTAGCTATATTGCCCGACAGAGTTGCATAACGCGCGCGTTTATTAGTTACAACAACTGTCTAGCGTACCTGCGGCGATTTTATTGTTTCACGGCAAACAGACATTAAACGTCGGACGTCAAGAGTTAAGACCACGGTAATAATAGTAGTATAATAATAATAATTATAGGTAAGAGTGGTATAATAAGGGTGTCGTTAAATATTCGGCCAAGGCCGCCACCCTGTTTTTTTTTTTGCGTCGATTGTCTGGACGTTTATTACCGCCGGCGCGCAGTTTACACACAATACTAATAAGTATATTATTGTAATGGTACGAGAATTAATAAAAGAAAATCGTCGTCGCCAAATAAAAATGTACAAGATTTGGACTTTCTTTCAAAAAAAAAAAAATACATATTCATTTCAAGGTGTACCTAGGGTAAAAATAATAGACACTGCCAAATTGGACCAAGATCGCGGCGTGCCATGCGCATTGTTCACGGTCCGGTTGCAACACATACACACAGAGCCTTATAATAATGATAATAATAATATTATGTATTATACATTAGTATCCGACGGGCGATTAAAAATAATGCATTGCGACGGCGTCCGTGTATTGTGTTGAAATTTCGCGTACTCGAATCGAATTTCTAAACGCGACGGAAAAAAAATATAGGTACCACATATACTAATACCTAATACCTACGCGGGTGCCTGCCTTGGGCCGCGAAACGGTAATAGACGTCTTATATCGATTGTCTGAGAGACATTTCGATTCGAGGGTAAACAAAAATGTCGGGTCCCGTCGGGGCTCGTGAAAGTGAAATCCGAGGCGTGTGTCTGTCCTTGACGGGTCCGAAGACGGGGCGAAGGCGAAACGAAAAAGAAGAAGCTAAAAAAAGAATAGATTTCGATATAGACAATGCATGATAATATTATTAGCTTCTATGAAAAGCTCATCTTTCCGGACGTCGTTCCGGAAATGACTTTTGTGTCTGACGCATGTATAACCGGTATTCATTATTCGCAGTCGAAGGTTTTTTATCGAATAATAATATTATTTATTGTTTCGATAACGGCCGAGGGTTAGAAAGTCTGAAATTCGCGACCTCACCAAACGCCCAGATAGTTTAATGTGTGCATGTATTATAATATATGAAGAAAAAACTTATTAGATATTGCGCGATAACATTTATTTGATTTAATTTTGAACGCAATCGTTGAAATTGTAGTAAAACGTGAGTTTCTTTTGAGTCGTATTAATTATTAATGTTTGCGGATACGTCTTAGTGGTTAACTCTTGAAAAAGAACACAATCATAAATTAAATTATTTTTAATATAATATCATTGCATGCTCTCTCGTTAGTGTGCACGTTTGTTGGAAATTCGAAAACATATGCTGTGTTTTACCGAGTCAAGTATATAAACCGTACGGTGAACAGTTCTAATTATTGACCGTTAGTAAAAAAACACTACTCGACGGGTAAGAGTCCAATACACTACACGGTCGAATAATTAGGTAAGAATATAATTATCGGCGTTTAGAATCGATGAACTCGCGTTTTTTTCTTCTGCTTTGTGCAGTGCAGCGTGTATATAATAGTGTACGCTCGCTGAAAGAAAAACCATTATTATGTTATTCCGCTCGTCCAATCAGTATTATTATTATTATAATATATACCTACCTATGTTTACTATAATATAGACTAAATATGTACCCGTGGCTCGTGACTCGCGCCGTGCCTGTTTGTTTCCTTATTATAAAGAAAAATAAAAAAAAATAATAATAAAAGTTTGAGAATATCAATATAAATACCGCGAAGAGTAATTAGTTTTTTTCTTCTCCTAATCGTCGTTGAACACCTTTACGGCCAGAGATCACGGATATCCCAGTGACGGTGTCGCACGCAGCAATGTAATAGTATATAGCTATTATGACGTGATCACTGTGCGGCGGTAGAGGTCAGGGGAAACGCGAAGGATTTCGCCGGTCTCCGATTTCCTCGGCAATTGGATGTGTAGTTTTTCGATTTCCCATCAACTCGATGATAATAACACCAACACTAATAATAATATAATACTTCCTGTCGCCCGCTGTCAGCAGGAGTCGTGTAACAATTAACGAGATCATCGCATTATCATATATATACACTATTATTATTATTATTATTATTATATTCTATTCTATTGTCTCGGTCCGCGCGTGAGCACATAGGATATTTTTTTTTCTTTCATCTTCTATACAGTCGATATATACGCGTTAGGTCCTTCGAATAATAATAAAAAATAATATAATAATATTAACTACCGTGATGATGATACACTGTCGTCGTGTGTCTGTCCTACACACGCGGGTCGACGGGTCACGTACGCTTCATACGAACCCTGTCGTGCATTACAACGGGCTTAATTCGTATGCGTTGTTATACAATATTATTACTGAGGTTCATATACAAGTGCGGGAGATGGTTAGAAATTCTCGTTGGTCAACGATCACGCCGTGTCCGAACGCTCGGGGGTGATCCGCGGCCGTTGGTTTTTTGTTTTGATGCGGTAACAAAATAGAATTATTAAAGAAAATAAAAAAACTCTTCATCATCAAATCAGTGACTAGGACTATCATGATACAGCTGCATTGACGTGTCGTTTTGTTTTTCTCGGGTAATTTGTTTTCTTCGTCGCTTTTAATGAATATCCAACTCACCCGTCGGAACCGTTCGACCGTGGTGGACGCACGGGGAGCACTCGACCACGGTTCTACGATCTCGGCATGTACATATAGGTACTGTATAGGTAGTCTACCTATATGTAGTGCACATTCGGTTGACTGGAACAAACCGCCCGGACAGCTGTTGATGTACATTTTTTTTTTTGTTCGTCAGCAAGAAAGTGAAGAGGTTGACCGGTTTTTTGTAATTTGTTTTTATCGCGTCCAGCTGTATATAAAATAGTCCTGTTGTCTCCTTTCGTCGAGTACAGTCATTCGGTGCGCCGACTCCTCCGCCGGAACCCAGCCCTGAAAAAAGTACTCATAAACTGTTGACCCGGTCGTGCATTATTAGATCTAAGAACAAATACTCATTCGATTAGCATGTGAATAAACGGCGCACCCACGTGATGAGGTTCTTAAAATAAAAAACAATTGGTGATTATTCACACTAATTATCCGCAATTAGTTGTGTATGAAAACTTCACTTCCTAATGCAAGTCTTTACTAATAAGTTAGGTATATAGTTTAAAAAATTGTTCGTTCAATTATTAAAAGTTTAATAAAACTTTATCGAATTCGATTTATCAAGTTCAATTTATTGATTGCTGTACTACCATTTTAGTATTGCTCTCGAGTATGACCTATAGTTGATCACTTGTTTCTTGGCCACGCTTCTGGCTATTAATTGGCTCATCTCACAAAGTATATTAAGTATATTTATTATATTTCATAATACGAATCGATTGCTGTGTGTAACGAGTTTCGATTTTGGTTTTCGTGTAGGTTGTAAGTAAAAAGTATTAAAACACCTTGTCTGCGCTGTTTGTCGTTTGGAGAAACCGTCGGGCTCAAATGCCGTCAGTTATTATTAGTATTTTTATTATTTATTTTAAACGAGCAGCCGCGTTCAGAGCAATA